CATATCAAAAAACGCAAAAAGCGTAGAAAATTGAAAACCATCCACTCTATTGGCTCCAGTTAAGGCTTTACATATGACATTTTTGGATCGACTTATATCTTTATCATGTTTGATTAGTACATGTACCCAATATAATTTTTTTCATCATGCTATTGAATAATCCAATCATGTGTTATACGCCCTAATCATGGAACTGAGTGGTTGAATTGTTCTGACATATACCGTAGTGCTGTAAAGAGAATACTAAACCTCCACAATGCCCCAAAGCCCAAGACGGGGGGTGCACTGAGATCCGGTTCCAGGATTGTAGGCAGTGGGGCCCCTTAAAAATGACCACTTCTGACAGCTCACCCTTCTCGGCCGGTCTGTAGCTGCAGCGGCCGGGGAGGAGAAAGTTTGGTTTGGCTGTCTCTGTACTAATCAGGATCCTCCCCGGCCACCTGTAGCTTCCTCCGCCCACTTCAGCTGCTATAGGCTGAGAGGGAGAGTGCAGACTTACCATTGGCTGGCTGTAGGAGAGCAGGTCCTGAAGTTAGGGGACAAGGAGGCTGCTGGAGGCATCACCTGAGAACATGCAGGCACCACCACCACCACCACCAGGAGAGGAAGAGGGCATGAGGACAGAGCACCTGAATCAGATCAACTGTGTGCACTGTAAGTCCCTGTTCTTTCCACATATACTCTGTGTTATTACAACATTGTGCGCTACACCACTGACCTCTGTACTCTTTGTTATTACCGCACTGTGAATTACTCCGCTGACCTCTGTACTCTGCGTTATTACTGCACTGTGCGTTATACCACTAACCTCTGTACTCTGCGTTGTTACTGCACAGTGCGTTACACCGCTGAGCTCTGTACTTTGCGTTGTTACTGCATTGTGTGTTACACCGCTGACCTCTGTACTCTTTGTTATTACCGCACTGTGCGTACACCGCTGACCTCTGTACTCTGCCTTATTACCCCAGTGTGCGTTATACCACTGACCTCTGTACTCTGCGTTATTACTGCACTGTGCATTACACCGTTGACCTCTATACTTTTTGTTATTACTGCACTGTGCGTACACCACTGATCTCTGTACTCTGCGTTCTTACTGCAATATGCATTACACCGCTGACCTCTGTACTCTGCGTTATTACTGCACTGTGCATTACACCGCTGACCTCTGCGTTATTACTGCACTGTGCGTTACACCAATGACCTGATGTGACTGGTTTAGTATTCTCTTTACAGCACTACGGTATATGTCAGAACAATGGGGGAAAAAAAGGTTTTGGTGAACAGATCCTGAGTGTGTGGTGCCACACCCCTGTATTGGTCAAAAAAGGTTAGGAAAGAAAAGTGGGGCTTTAATGGCACCAAGCGACAAGTCCAATGAATCACACAATTACTTGAATAAAAAAATATATAATTTGTATTTTATCTGTCTGATTATTGTATATCAGACAGGCTTAGTAAAACAGCTTACATACTGTGCCTTTAGTCTGTACAATATTTCTGCTTTTTTTCTGCGAATCTATACATTTTAATTTAGAATTTTTTTTTTTTATTTAAAGTCACCCCCCAACCCCCAAAGAAAAATAAAGACCATAGTAAAATAAAATAGAATAAAATAAGATATAGTTCCACAAAATCGAAATCCTGACTAAGCTATGGTCGCAGTATTGTACACTTAGGACCCGTTCATTCCAAGGCGGCATCATTTTTGTGCGTTTGTACGCATGGTTTCAGCGCGCAGTTTTTTGCATGGTTAAAGGAGATCTATGAGATGAGTGATTTCCACTCACCTCATAGTTCTAGCCGACCTGTGACAATGAGACTGTCACAGGTCGGCTCAGTAGATCGGGAGGTTAGCGAACACATACCAGGTTCGATCACCTCTCGATCCTGTCACGGCTCTCTGCCGTGACGGGGAGGGGCTGGATTCCCCTTTCCCCGCTCCGATCTGCCAGCGCTGACTGGCGGAACGGACGGGGGAGGGGGCGGGTACAGCTGGCTCTGCCTCTAGATAGGCAGAGCCAGCTGTCACTCATGCAGCTGGGCGGAT